TTTAGGTATTCACCTCTACACTAAAATTCTACCTTTCCATACGTAATCATCAATTCTTACTCCTCATCTTGCTCATTATTCAACAGCATTTGACATACTTTCCCCTCTCAGGCCATCACACTCTCCTGATTTTCCTTCTTTCCTCAGTGGACAACTCCACTTCCCCTTTCCAACCTCTCAGTTGGAGAGCCCGAGGGTTCAGTCCTCAGTCCCACCTTTTCCTCTGGATCTACATCCATTACCCAGGTGCCTTTTGTCTACTGCTAAAATTTCAAGTATCATGCACTCAAGCTATTCTATATTATTTCATAATTGGTAATACATTAGGTAATATTTATGTGTTTTAATCCAGGCAGTTAGATTGTATGTTCCCAGAAGATAAAGATCTCTACCATTTTGTTCTTTTCCATCCTTTTAAAGTATCTAATACAGTGTTCTGTGCATGGTAGGCTCTGATTAAACACTACAAACCCCATCTCTGATTTTGCTCAAGCACTGAAAAATGAATGGTTTTACTACTAGGTAGAAGAAGAATTTACAGTGATCGACACTTACACAACAAGTACCTCCTATTACTGAGTCTGAAAACCGGGACCTGCTCAGGGCTCAGCATCTATTATGGTCACCTGAGAATGTGTCAAATCCTTAAAAATTCTTTTACTGAGACTGAATCCATAAGCCAGTTGAGTGGTTGAGTGGTTCATCTATTCAGCATTTTCAATGAGGTGAAGATAAACTATATACTTCTTTCCATTGGAGGTTTCTCATGTGTTGAGGCTGGACACAGGGGAAGTCCTTGTTCCAACTAAATACCAAACAAACAATAATTAAACTAGAGCCACAGTTTCAGTGGGGAAGGGCCAAACAAACTGTACACAAATCTGGGCTGTTACCTAAGAAATGCACACCTCTTCCACTGGCTTACAAGTGAGGACTAAAAAGCTCTTGGTCCCTGAGGATATTTCATCTAATAACACAGTCAAGATAAATCTAGAGCAGCCTCATTTCAAACCAGAGTGAACAGGCATCACATGGTTTGAGTTTCAGGCCATAACAATTCTCTATATAGCCTGTCGGTGAAAGCCAAGCTCAACCCCTTCGCTGCACTGTCTCCACACCAAGGGGGGAAAAAAACAAAAGGCCTCTATGGGTTGCTCAGGGTCACTGGGTAAAAACTAAACTCTACTCTCCTTGTCAACCAACTGCCATCTTTAGCCACTATGATATGATATTTTATAAATTCCCTGTTTTACAGTTACTTAGAGCAGATTTTTCAGGGTGAGTTTCCAGGATCTTTGAGAATAATCTTCCACTCGGTTTGAGACATCTCAAAGAACTTCTCTGCACCAAACTGTTTCTGAACACACAGAAATGAAATAGGCCTTATGAATTTTAAGGTAACAAAGATTTCTCTTTAAAAAGTCTCAGAGCTGACCAGTCATAAACAACAGAATATACAGCCAAGTTTTATAAGAGCCAAGAAGTGTAACAACAGATACTGAAGAATACACTGCTCCAAAGAAGAGGACACGTGGGAAACGAGTAGTGCCCAACAATACTTTTATTGTTCACTGAAAAGTACAGGTCTGGAAAGAGTCTACTGCATTGTGTACTGAATGCAAGGCCTGATACTACAAGTATACACGACATAACAGCATAACTTACATAAAACGATACATATTGTACACTTATATAAAATGATACATATAATAGCCACCTCTCTAAACACTATAATTTAATAGAAGTAATGCCTTTTATTAAATGAGAACTGTAAACACTGCAATCATAAACAAAATGCTCTAAGCAAAGCACTTTAAAATTGTTTTGTTGTGATACCTACTTTGTCCACCTGGAGTTAGGAACAGTAGGACCCAACAAAAAGTTAACCAATGAGAGCTAGCAATTTCAAGGAGCTCTTCCCAGGGAGCAGGCTACTGCTGCCCAAGACAGACTGCCACCCTGGCCTCCCTGGAGCCCTCAGGCCCACAGTGACTGCTAATTCCTGCCTCGGGGCTAGTCTGAGGTGACTATAAAGTGGAGGAGTACGCGTAGGAGGAAGCTCCTGTCACAACTGCTTATCCTGCACCCAACTCTTTTTTATGTGAATTTGCCACTCTCAGCAAACATCGAAATGTGCTTTAAAAAAAAAAAAATTAACAATGAGAACAAAAGCCATTCTCTATGCAATCTGCAGTTATCACCATTTCTTCCTTTCAGCCACGTTTTCATTAGATGCTCTAAAAGAGGCTGCTACTACTATATTATCAGCCAGGCAGGCCAGGATTGAGGTAACAAAACTTCTCCAGTTACAACTAACTTAAATGAATAAAAAATAAATACAAATTTATTAGAGAGCAACAAAATCAATCTCTATTAATCACATGGCAAAATATTCAAGCACTGCAACAATATTCACATTCCAAGGTCAACTTTATACCATTTCCTTCCAAACTGAGAAAGCTTTGTGCAGAGGAGAACATAAAATATCAACACCACCTCTTCCTCTCCAAATACTATCAGGGCTCAGAAGGCTCCTCATACACAACAAATGCGAAGAAAAAAAAAAAAGGCATCTCAGTCTATACACAGCAACAGAGGAAAACCATACTCTCCCTCTGGGCACCCTTGGCATCAGGCAAAGCAGGGCTATTTGTAAAAATAGTGCCTAAACTGACTATGGCAATGCTCACATTTTAAGAGAAATAAAGAAACAAAGTTCCTTTATTCATAGGGCATCAAAGATTATTAAATAATTTCCTCAGACAAGAGTCTCACCATCAAAGAAAAATTTCCTCTTGTCTGACAAGTTTTTATGAGATTTTATGAGATTTTACAGTATCCCAGCTTCTTTACTTAATATTAAACTATAATGCTTATATTTTTGAATACTTTACAGATGAAATATTTTATCAGACTATTCATTTGAGAGATTTGTAAGTCAACAGTGATAACCAACTATATATTTTTCTTATTCTGTTCATCAAAGAACACCATGTTCTGACAGGATTAAAGCCCAGTTCCATGGGTATCTCGTTCCTCTCAACTCTATGCAGTAAATTTCACTGTTCAGTCTCTCAGTCCTTGACTCTTCCTATGACTCTTCTAGTCTAAGGAAAATCCTGTATAATGGTGGAAAACCACAAACTCTAGTGGAAGCACTGGTATCAGTGTTGCAAAGTAAATTTTAGGGGAATAACTATAATTGCTAGGAACTGTTTACAGCCTTGCTGGAAATCCTATTTCTCTTGAATCCCTAGATTGAGAAATTCTAGTTATTTAACCATGGGAAGGGATTTCACTGATAAAGGTCTAATTCATGTGAGAGGTTCTGGCCCTGAAATGATGTGTGGCTAGCCCAAAATACTGGCCACCTTTCCATTTTAAACATGTTCATTATTCTTCCCCACCAGAGTACTGTCAAATTCTTCCATCTGTCATGGCACTGGTGAGCCCTCTCATTGCTGCTCCTCTTTCTTTTGGATGTTCTACTGTACATGTGGGATCCATTGAACTTATCACCTTAATGTGTAGGGAATTCTCATTTCACATCATCCGCTCCCTAAAAGCCATCAACTGGGAACAATTTCTAGTTAGTAAAGGCACAATTCACTGGCATTTCCTCTTTATGAAAGAAATCAAAAGGGTTGCCTAGAAGCTGAACACACACCTTGGATATTCCTAGAAAGGGAAGGTTATATCTGCTACTAAAACCCAGGGACATTTGCTAGATCTAAAGATTATATGGATTTTGTAAAAGCATGAATTTGGCAGTTTAAGACATTTTCAGTTTTACACTACCTCACTTAGGGGGGAGGGGGTGCTGGTTAGTATCACAGGAGCAAATTAAAAGTGTCAACATCACTCTTTGGCTTGTTTTTCTCATGCTTTTGATAAGCTTTCACCCGCGCTAGTGAAGCCTGTCCCAGGGCACATCACTCAGCAACCGGCAGAACTGCTCAGAGATAGCACAACAGGTTTCACCTCAACCGGCCCCGCTCCCCGCTCTCAGCTGGTAAACACTGCCTTGGGATACAGCTCATGAAAAGCCTTAAACCCAGAAAAGACTTACAGAAGTTGCACAAAAATTCTTGGTTTATAATACCTTCCCAGAATTCAGAAAAAAATTGGTTTTTAGTTAAAGAAACGGAATCGATGCTCACAAAAATGTAATGCCTCAAAAAGCAAAATCTAGAGTAAAAACTAGAGAAAAAAATGCAGCTTGTTAATCAATAGCTTACTTTGGCTAAATTATCATAGTAAGTCAGTGCGATTTACTATTGCATGTAGAAGCACAACCTGCCATGTTCTCATAAAATAGGGTACTAGTAAAGAACATGAAAACAGACATAGGGATGAGAGCCCTTTAGCCTTTTGTGACTTCATAACTTAAAAAGACAAAGGCCAAGCAGGATTTGACATTGACAGATTTACCTGCTCAGCACAAGCTGAGTTGAGAGACAGCTAAACATCTGACTTTTATTCACTTATGTTGTTCTCAGAAAATTCCTATTTGGACACCGATTTCTTAAATTGGCTGCATATCAGAGTCATCCGGGAAGCTTTTAAAAATTACCAAATGCCCAGAGGTGACTGGGTGGCTCAGTCGGTTGGGCGTCAGACTCTTAGTTTCAGCTCAGGTCATGATCTCAGGGTCCTGAGATTGAGCTCCACATTAGGCTCCACGCTCAGCACAGAGTCTGCTTGTCCCTCTCCCTCTGCTCATCCCCCCCTCCTCAAATAAATAAAATCCTAAAAATTACCAAATGCCCAGACCAAGTAAATGTGGAAGGTGGAGTCCAGATAACAATATTTCATATACTTCCCCAGGTGATATTCTAATGTGTAGCCAGGACATGCACATCCACTAATGTATCCCTTTCAAAGAGCTGTTGCATGAAAGTCATATTTTATCTAGATGGTTTTGTTTTTTCTAAATTCCACCAGGAAAAGGAATTTTTAGAAAAAGGCACAGTTGTGCTTCCTCTAAAGATGCAGCTTACTGTTTGACAGGTGCTGGTTCTCAGAGGTTATCTGGAGCGCTGGTTGAAAAGGAGGAAGTCCTTGTCTTGGCAGAGTAGGCAGAGTTTCAGGCTTCGGCAGCTGCCTCCAGCAACAAAGAATGCCCAGATGCCCATGAGTACCATAATTATATATGTTGACATCAGATTTATTCCATAATGAGGACTTATGAAGGTCTGCAAAAGAAAAATAAATCAGCTTGTATAATAACAGTAAGCTTATTAAACATGTAGAGTAACCAAAGATAAAGGAAAATATAGGATACTTTCAATAGCTGGGCTGTGTTTCACCAAACATATGATGTATGTCACATATTGAGTACCACAAAGACACACAGAACTAACCTTGTCAACAGACATTAGCCCATAGAATTGTGCTTTCCTATATTCAAATGGAAAACTGAGAGAGTAATTAGAAGTCAGAATCTAATGGAATACCCAATGGAAGATACATGTTATACAAGCTGAACCCAGTTTATAATAATTTCTGTATTAACCGGCTCTTACAATTTGCAAGAAAGTAAGGCAAGTCCAAGTTACTTTAGGATGAATCCTTAGTATTCAAGGGAACATGAGGGAACAGCATCTTTTTTCAGCTGCACAATTGCTGAGGGTTCTAAAAGTTCATTTAAAAAACACTGATGGAATGCCAAGAGGTATCATGTTACACAACACTGAAGACCAGAGTATCTAAGAGTATCTATCTTAATGGAGCTTATATGCTAGTAAGAGAGACAAGTAATGAATGAAGAAACAAATAAATGAATCAAATCATTACACATTATGATGAATGCTAGATAGAATAATCATAATCGTTATGGTGCTAGATAAGAACAAGGTGGTCTACTTAGGTTGCTCAGGGGAAGTCCTGAGGAAATGGCATTTAAACTGACATATAGGGGTGCCTGGGTGGCTCAGTTGGTTAAGCGACTGCCTTCGGCTCAGGTCATGATTCCGGAGTCCCGGGATCGATTCCCGCATCAGGCTCCCTGCTCGTCAGGGAGTCTGCTTCTCCCTCTGACCCTCCCCCCTCTCATGTGCTCTCTCTCTCATTCTCTCTGTCAAATAAATAAATAAAATCTTTAAAAAAAAAATAAACTGACATATAGTTGGAAGACAGAGCCAGCCTTGTGTAGACTGAGGGAGGGAACCACAGGAGGGCAAAGAGCTTGGTGCAGCTGAGAACCTGAGAAGAGTGTTATTAATGATGTGTAGAGATGGAGGGGCAGCACACGAGATGAGGTCAGAGAGGAAGGCAGGAACCAGTTATGCAGCACCTTGGTAAGAAGTGTAGACTTTATCCCCAGTGCAATGGAGGGTCACAGAAGGGGTCAAGGTAGGGGAGCTGAGTGACTTGATTTAGATGTTTAAAACTCCACAGAATGGGTTAAAAGAGGCAATGGTGAAACAAGGGAGACTCGTTAAGAAGATTTTACACTGGCTGAGGAGAGTATAGGATGGTGACTTAGATCAGGGTGGCAGTAGTAGAGATGGGTTCTGCTAGAGTATCTATCCTATACCCAATGGAAGATACATGTTATACAAGCTGAGCCCAGTTTATAATAATTTCTTTTGTATTTCTTTTGTATTTCTTTTGTATTTCTCTTTAGTTTCTTTAAAACTTTTTCTCCTTTAAACAATTACAGAAGCAATATGTGATTGTTCTAGAAAATTAAAATACACAAATGAGTAAAATAACAAATTTTAAAACCTGAAATTCAGATAGGTTAATATTGAGTGAACAGAAAACAAAAACTGCAAATGATAAAGCAAAATTGATCAAACTACATTAAAATAAGAACTTTGGCTCATAAAAAAAAAAAAACATAAAGAGGATGTAAAGATAAACCACACTGTAGAAGTTATTTACAGTAGGTACATCTGACAAAGACCTTTTCTAGAGAATACAGAAAAAACTCCTAAAAATAAAAAAGACAACCCAATAGTATTATAGGCAAAAGATGTGAACAGGCACTTCACACAAGAATTATCCAAATGGCCAATAAATATACGAAGACATGCTTAATCTCATTAATCACTACGGAAATGCAAACTAAACCCACAATGTGATACCACCATATACCCAGAGATGAATAACAATAAAAAGCGTGACATACTAACTGCTGGTGATGAGGCGGAGGAACTGTTACTCACAAATTAATGGTGGGGATGTAAGTTGATATAATTACTCTGAAAAACTGAGTGGTACAAACAGTTGACATATGTCCACCCCATGACCAGCAATTCCACTCCTAGGCACATATCACATATATCCAAAAGAAATGTGTACATATATTAAAAAGAGACATATACTAGAATGCTCAAAGCATTACTATTCACAACAGAAGTTGGAGACATCATTTCTGCTGTAGAATGGACAAAGCAAGGTATAGTCACAAAGTAGAATACTATACTGCAAAAAATGAGCAATTAATAGCTATATACAAGGATGAATCTCACAAACATGATGTTGAGTGAAAGGAGTCAGACACAAGAGCAAAGACTAAATGGTACTGTTTACATAAAATACCAAAAGGCAAGACGAGCTGCAGTGTTAGAAGTCAGGACCGTGGTAGGAGGCTTGTGGGCACTGATAATGTTTTAGTTTTCATTTGGGTTTGAGGTACATAGGTTACATTCATCAAGATGTATGCTTCTGATCTGTATACTTTTCTGTATGTGTATTTTAATAAAACAATTACTTAAACATTCTCTGAAATATGCTATTCAGAGATAACCACTGTTAACATTTTGGTATAAAATCTTTCAAATTTCCCAGGTCCTTTTTATTTTAGTTTATTTTCCTGGGTTCTTTTTAATCATTAAAGAGAAGATCAACTATTCAATATTCGACAACATTTATTGGATTGAAGATAAAGATTGATAAGGGCCCATCTTTGATGATCAAACTCTAGTTGGAGAGATATAAGAACTATATTAATATAAAACAATGCTCTCTGAGGATGAGTGTTATAACACAGATATGAATTAAGGGCTAATGATTGTGCTGAGTCTGGAATATGCACCTTTTCCAGGGAGGCTTCACACTGAATGAGTACTTTTCCAAACTGACCTAGGTTAAGGGGAGATGAATCACTGCAGATAAAACATGGACAAGGCATGCCTGTTGGGTAGCCATAATGGATCAATTTAGATGGAGTGCGTGATGTGAACCGTGGGGAGCAGCAAGAGGTAAGTTTTGCACCAGTATGGTTGATAAGAGACTTAGGTCAAAGAAGTCTGGGTTTTATTCCATAGGCATCTGCTACAGTTGATCATTTTCTCCTCAATACATTTGGCTTCCAGGACACCTGGCTCCTGATTTTCCTCCAACCTCACTAGTGGCTCCTTCTCAGTCTCCTTTGCTGGCTCCTCTTTCCCCAGTCTCAATGTAGGAGTGTCCCAGGGCTCAGTGCTTGGGCCTCTTTTCTTGTCTGCTTAAATTTATTCCTTGTAATCACCTTTTTTGGCCTGGATTTCTCTCCCAAATTCCAGACTTCTTCATCTAACTGCCCAACAACCATTTGGATGTCCAATAGGCACTTCAATTACATTTATAATGTGCCCAGATAAACTCCTGATTTCCCCTCACAAGCTTCCCCATCCCAGATGATGGCAACTCCATCCTTCTAATTGCCCAGGCCAAAACCCTGGAAACACCCTTGGCGCCTCTTCTTTCTCTCCTATGCCTTATCCAGTCTGTCAGGAAATACTGTTGGCTCTACTTTCAAAAATATGTCCTTAACCGGATCATTTCTCATTATATCCATTGCTATTTCACGCAAATTATCACCATCTTCCTCTTGATGACTATAATCTTTTCCCCTGCTACAGTTTACTCTTAACACCAGCAAAGTGATCCTTTTGAAATGTGAGTCAGATCATGTCCCTCTCCTTAACACCCTACAATGACGCCCATTTCACTGAGAGTACATGTCGAAGTCCTGCACTATCTAGATGTGGTTCTCACTTCCAACCTCTACTTCCCTCCCACCTTCAACTCTGTGATAGTATTTCCTACTAACTTTCCCCTGGCTCACTCTGTTCTGGCCACCCTTACTTCCAAAAACATGCCAAGCAAGTTCTTTGATCTTAGGACTTTGCCACTGGCCGTGCAGTCCAGGATGCTCTTTCTCCGACAGCCACATGACCAATCTACTTCACTTCTTTGCTCAAATGTTACCTTCACAATGAAGCCTACTCTGACCACCTAATTAAAAAATTTGACATCTCCTGCCTCCTTACACTCTGGATTCCTTTTAACCTGCTCTAGTGTCCACACCACCTATCACTGTAAATTTTATTATTTATTATGCCTAATGCTTAATGCCTCTCGCCCCACTAAACTGTAAAAACAGATCTTTGTTTTGTTCACTCAACTGCTTTGTTTACCTAGAACAGTGCCTGGAACACAGAAGGCACTCAGTAAATATTTGTCAAATGAATGAATAGCCAATTGGATCTATAAAAAGGACATCTGCTTTTTCATGTAATTTTCTTTCTGATTATAAAAGTGTACATTGTAGAAAATTTGAACATGCCAAAAACTATAAAGAAAAGAATCCACTCAGAGATAAATGCTGTTAATATTTTAATGCGGTCTCTTTCCAGTCTTTTTTCCAATGAAGACTTGGCTTCACATAATTGCCATCATATTAAAGGTAACTTTAGTATCCTGTACCACTGAAAGGTTTTAGGTAGGGGAAGCAGTAAGATTACATTTTTATCTATCTATCTATCTATCTATCTATCTATCTATCTATCTATCTATCTATCTATCTATCTTTTAAGTAATCTCCATGCCCAGCTTGAGGCTCAAACTCATGATCCTGAGATCAAGAGTCACATGCTCTACTGACTGAGCCAGCCAGGCATCCCTGTAAGACAGCACTTTAGATGTATCAGAGGTCAAGGATCCCAGTATGAGAAAACCTGATACAAATTCTAAATGGATGGAGAAGAGAGAGACATGAGGCAGGACACCACCAGAAAGAACCTTTTCAATACTTGGAGGTGAGAAATCATAAGGGTCTGGACAAGGCAGTGGTGAGGATAATTCTGATGTAAATATCTGACAAATTACAATGAAAGTCAGACCCAACGCATTAAATAGTTCTTAAAAAATATATGTAGTCAAGCTTTCCTTTTAAATTTTATTTTGAAAACTGGCATACTTAGAATTTCAGTGTGGAGGGAGTAAATTGGGCACTCTTGTTATTGATCAGAATGAGCAAAAAATGGTACAACCTTTGTGGAGAGTCTTTTAGCAACTGACATCAAGGGTTTTAAAAATATGCATGCCATTTAATTTCATATTTTCATTCCCTGGAATCTAAATATCATATTGAAAAACTTTCATGTACAAAGATGTTCAAGATAGCATTATAAGAAGCAAAAGTAGAAAAAGATGTTATCAATCAGTTAAGTAAACTGTAATATAATTTTGATGTAATAATATAAGGCTATTAAAGTTTACATATTAAAAGGATTTATAATATCATGGAAATTGTTTAAGATGTGTTACATAACATAATAATACAAGATGACTTCAGGTTTGACTATACCCATAAAAGCAAGATACATAGAAAAAATTTTTTAATGAAATCAACCAACAAATAGTTGCTTTTTTCTGTAGGAAGACTTAGATGATTTATTTATCTACCATTCACTCATTCACGCAGTCAACAACTTTTTGGAATTTCTTCATTTGACCATGAGCATGTATTTCATTTAGAGTGGAACCTACCATTTTAGATATGGGAACTTGAGTTCCAAAAAACAATGCGAGCATGGTGGTAATACTCACCAGGGCTGACACTAGCAGATGGGTCAGAAGAACTACAAGAAGGGCAGACCACTTTTTCTTCTCACAGCCATCAAAAAATATGATGCCCCAGAACATGTGCAGCAATATGATAACCAGCGTCATGAAAGCTGAAAGACAGTCATCCATTAGAGTCCAGTCATGTAGACAACAGATGCCAAAGCCCACTGACCACCTGCTCATGATACACAAGCTCTTGGGGTATGCCACTCCACTGTGAGAGTTTAAACACCACCTGTCAGAACCAGGACCCTGACACATGTTTGCTCAAATAGTAACTTGGAAAGCAACACTTCTCAACACAGGGTCAGCTCTGCAGCAGCTTCTGATCGAGAATATGAACCTGTTAAAGCTAAAGTCAGCTTGGACCTGGCTTTCAAGGAGTTTCTCCTAGGAAGGGATAAAACTAATGTGTCCAATCAAATCTTTCCAAATTAGCCTTCTGCATTTTCCTCAATTAAATGGAGTATCCTCAATTTAAACAAGTCTTGGGGCGCCTGGGTGGCTCAGCCGTTGGGTGTCTACCTTTGGCTCAGATCATGATCCCAGGGTCCTGGGATCAAGCCCCGCATCGGGCTCCCTGCTCAGCAGGGAGCCTGCTTCTCCTCTCCGTCTGCTGCTCCCCCTGCTTGTGCTCTCTCTGTGAAATAAATAAAAACTTAAAAAAAAATTTTTAAACAAGTCTTCTCACTAAAGTGGAATTTCTCCTGTGCTCTTTCCTTTTCTTAAAAAAAAAAAAAAGGCCAATGGAAGAATAAAAATATTAAAAATTGCAGTAATTATCTTAGATTCTTCTTAGGCAACCCAAACTGAATTTGATCAGCACACCCAGGTTTTTCTGTGCAATAGAGTGTGTGTGTTTGTGTCTCCTGTGCCCTGAAAACATTATTTAAAATGGGCAAGTTCCACATATTCTGAAAGTTGTAATATGAAAAAAGGGCATATCAATTTTCCTTTTCAGCCACATAATAAGATAAAATTAACACCCACCAATCTGGCAAAAATTCAAGTCTGACAATTCTCTTTCACACTGCAGATAGGAAAACAATCTAGCATTACCTAGTAAAGTTGAAAGTATGTATTCTCTATTTCATTCCAGCAATTCCACAGCTAGATCTATACTCTGAAGCAGTTGGTTCTTGGATCAATAGACCACTAGTATCTAAGAACTTGTTAGGAATGCAAACTCTTGGGACCCACCCCAGACCTCTTCAATCAGACAATGAGCCTAGCAACCTGTGTTTAAATAGACCTGCAGGTGATTCCAATGTACAGTCAAATTTGAGAACCACTGCTCTGGAAAAACTAACATATTTTGCACAGAGATATACAAGAATATTTATATCAGCATTGTTTGTTTGTAATAACAAAAAATTTTCATCATTATCAGAATGGAAGATTTGTGGTGTATTCACACAATGGTATACTATATGATCTATAATATAAATGATCTCAAGAATATAATGCTAAGTAGGGAAAAAAACATATTGTGGGAAAATGCCTATTACTTATACAAAGTCAAAAACATCCAAAAACAATATTAAAAGTACATAACTACTGTGGTTGGAGGAAAGTAAGTTGTTCTGTCTAGGGACAGTGTGCCATCATTTCAGTAAATGATGGTAAATACTTTAAAGTAGAGGAGGGATTTTAAAATATATAACTTTGGGATGAGGGTAGACTAAAACTAAAATGACATAAGGCACTTTCCTGCTAAAAAACATGTCTGATGGATTGATACTGTGTCCAAAGTAAAGTCCAAATATCTCAGATTACCATCCAAGGCCCTCTACAACCCAAGACCCAAATTATTATCCTTTACTAATCTTCAAATTTAGCCTAAATGGTAGAAAACCAGAACTCTTATACTCTATGTCTCTGTGTTTTTACTTATTTTAACTGATCGTCCCTTTTGCCTGAATACTCAACACGCCCCTGCCATTTCACCATATCCAAATCTTATTTTAAGATCTAGCTTAATGCCATCTCGTGTGAATTCTTTGACACCTACTCTTCATTTTTTTTTAAGAACACTCAGCACACATTTACTGAGCACCTGGATAGTTTGGCCTGAAGATGTTGTACAAGAGCTCAGGAGTCACACAGTCCTGAGATGGAATGCCAGCTCCACGGTATGGCTTTGGGCAAACTATTTAACCTAACCTCCTTCACCTTCTGTTCCCTTTATTTCTAAAATGGGGACAATAATACCTCATAGGGCTGTTGCAGGGAAGAATAGTGCTTTGTAAACCACAGCTTTTCAATAAATCATACTACTATGTGCTACAGTCTCCAGATTAAAAAATGAGTATGGCAGGACCTTTAGTGAGTTGTACCATCAGGTGGGAAAGTGAGGCAAAGCAGCAAGCAATAGAAATGTGGGTAGTGTGCTGTGTTTTAAAATGCACTCTTCTTCACTCTTACAGATTATTTCTTTCTCTGACCTTGTATTTACTTTTATATTTATTTTCTTCCTCCCCTCTTTCCTTAATCCATACAACAAGTACTTATTCGATGTCCATTATGGGCAGGCACTCTTTCGGGCACTGAGGCTATCATGGTGCACAAAACACAATCTCCTGGAACTTCGCCTCATCCTTTCAGTGTACTGTTTTATTAACACAGTATCCAAAGGGGAGCCCTCAGACATTTGTTGAAACACTGTAAATTCTTACTTGACTGCTTATTTATTCACCTGGCATTAATTTCTGGCTGGCTTCCATGTCATCATAAGTCTTTACTATTAGAATGTGCCATTTAGAATATTGGGATTCATTGTTTATTCCCTCTGCAACTGGTCAGAGGTCCAACAGAAACTGAGACCTGAATATCTATTCTGCCACATACATGTAGTTAAAGGTACATACAATTTTGATACTTTTTCCTAGTAAATGGAATTAATTCCAACTAGAAATGAAGATTTGCTAACAGTATCTCTAGGATACTATCTTTTAATTACTAAAACTTTCTCATTTCATGTTCCTAACTATAAAATTCTAAGTCCTTCAGTAAATCTCTCTAAAATTTGCTTTGTTCTAATATTCATAAAAGTAGAAAAAAACCTCTCCAAATTAATCATAAAAATATCAAAATTCATTTATAATCCAGATTAATAAAAGGAGCTTCCCTAATTTCTAGTGTTTTGGAACATTAATCAGAAATCTGAACAATTCTGGGGCACCTGGGTGGCTCAGTCAGTTAAACATCTGACTTGACTTCAGTTCAGGTCATGATCTCAGGGCTGTGGGATTGAGTCCCGCGACAGTCTCTGCGCACGTAGAGCCTGCTTAAGATTCTCTCGCTGCCCCTCTCACCCTGCGCACTCTGTCTCAAAGAAAGAAAAGAAAAGAAAAGAAAAGAAAAGGAAAGAAAGGAAGGAAGGAAGGAAGGAAGGAAGGAAGGAAGGAAGGAAGGAAGGAAGGAAATCTGAACAATTCTAACAAGTATTATACGTTTGTGAAATTGTAGCTACTAGTTTGATAATGGACTTCCAAAAATCTTTTAAGCCAAATTCTCTTGGTGAAGAATGTTTTAACCTATTTCTAAGCAAAATGTTTCAGGATTATCTTTAAGGGGCTACATTTAGGGGGGCCTGGGTGGCTCAGTCGGTTCAGTATCTGACTCTTGATTTCGATCTCAGAGTCCTGGGATCGAGCCCCGTATTGGGCTCTGTACTCAGCATTGGGATTCTCTCTCTCTCTCTCTCCCTCTCCTCCTGCCCCTCTTGTTCCTGCTCTCTCTCTCTCTCAAACCAATAAATAAGTCTTTAGGAAAAAAAAGAGGCTACATTTACTACTTGGTTCTTTTCTCTTTGAATATACTCCAAATGTTCTAACACACAGATTCATAAACATCCTCATTTTCAGGCTTGTCCCTCTCTCCCTTATTCCTAATATTACTTTTCTGTCCTTGCAAAGACAACGGCCTAATATAGCAACTGATTCTAACACTGGATCCTAGCAATACAGAAACTGCTATCATCTGGCTTCCTCTGACAACTTCAGAGAATCTCTAACTATGCCAGAGAGAGCCAAGGGCTGCTGCTGGGTGGTAGCAGCCACAGGCAGAGGAAGACTTTGCAAAGCCAAGAGTTAGCTTCAACTGCCTAGAGACAGGATGTGATTACTAATGAGCTTCTGGCTTCTTTTTCCAAGAAGAGAGTCTGGGGTGTCAAGGTTCTGTGCAGTGAGGAACTCTCCTCCAACCCTCTTGGTTGCAGACTCTCTGGATTCTTAAGAGCTCTCCAATGACCTAGCCCAAGTAGAAGTCAAGCCACAGAACTAAATATTTTTGAAAATGCCTTTCCCATAATAGGGATTTAACTTAAAAATTTTGCTTTAAAAAACATTACAATTTTGTAACCTTGTTATTATAATATAGAAGTATATATATTACTAACCAAATAACATTCTCCAAGATTTAAAAAAGACATCTTGAAAACCATCTCATACTACATAGCAATAAGAAAGGTGTAGTACTGTCCTCTAATACCAGCCAGATTATAAGGAGGTGTTCTGAAAACAATCTGAATGACTACTGGTGTTTAAATAGCATTTATCGGGGCACCTGGGTGGCTCAGTCGTTGAGCGTCTGCCTTCAGCTCAGGTCATGATCCCAGGGTCCTGGGATCGAGCCCTGCATCGGGCTCCCTACTCTGCGGGAAGCCCGCTTCTCCCTCTCCCACTCCCCCTGCTTGTGTTCCCTCTCTCGTGGTCTCTGTCAAATAAATAAATAAAATCTTAAAAAAAATAAAATAGCATTTATCATATTTATGAAAATGCTTCTAAAGTATGTTCATAAGCTGAACAGACTGCCAAAAATATGATTTTGTTTAAAGTCTCCCTAGCATATGTTAAAGAATGATGAAATTCTCTCTTCAGATTAGTTCATCAATGTGAGGGTCAGCATTGGGAGGCCTATTACATGTTTTCTGATCCAGTCCCTATGCAATGAAAAAGTAAATCCCACAGCATCCACTTCAAATCCAGTTTAGAAGCTTATGTCATTAAAGCAGTCACTGTGGGAAAGTTCCTTCTCAAACTGAACCCAAATCTGCCTTCTAACTCAGTGATTCACAAGTGAGGCAATTTTGCCCCCAGAGAGCATTTGT